TACATTTTCCTGGTATAAAATTTCATAGCATCTCTAGAATCACAATCAATAAATTAATGAAGACTCTGAAAGTGCCATTTCCGACGATCTAGAGATTCGAAATATTCAACTCCCTCCTCAGTTAATCAAGCATCATATATACAGGGCCGTAGCAATTTGCTAATAATCATTTTTTTTTCAAAATCATGCAGACCTTTATCATTTAATCCATGACGAACTGCAAAGAATGAAGATATTACCCATATACTTTCCTGCAACTTATCCAATATATAGTTAATTAAATACGCCTTCGCCCATTTAGTACTACTAAATTGTAAATTTCGACATACTAAAACGCTGTTTTCTGACCATTAGAATTCTGTCAAATCTTCCCCAAAGTCCAGGAAATGGCATTTCAGAGACTCTAAATTTAAAAATTTCCTCGGGCCTTCGGCCCTCGCTTTCAGCCCCCTCCCAATCGAAAAGAGCTTCCTACGGCCCTGATATATGCTCCTGCCGTAGTGTGGATTGGTGCATTGTGTAGCCAATACATGCATTTGAATTGTGTTGCTGCAGAGCAGATGCCTTGGCTTTTATACCGATGCAATTTAAAAGTTTTGAGAAAAAATCCTGCATAGATGAATGAGTACATAAAAATATTGAGCACCAAAAATTCACACAACTTCCCCATCAGATATCTAATGGTCTACCCCTTACCACATATATCCTAGGGGGGCAATTTTGTATATTTTTGTGTTATTTGCATCTCCAAAACTCCTACTTTTGTCCTACTTTTCTACACATTTTCCTACTTTATTCCTACTTTTCCTAAAATTCTAGTCCTACTTTTGTCCTACTTTTCTACACAAGGATGCCAGAAACCTAGTAAACACACAAGTATTACTCACAAATACAAACGTTATCCACAAATGCACATGGTTTAGCTCTGAGCATGCGATGCGCTAACGCAGACAACATTGTTTACATTCCGTGAGTCCGTATATTAAACGTATAAAACTTGAAAAACTCAGCGATCCAGATATTGCATTTCCAGAGACGTTGCACGAAAAAACCCCAACCATGCAGTCAACTTCCAAGGAAGCGCAGTCTGAAGGTAAAACGTCTTAAGTCGAATTTTAGACCCCTACGATTTAAACAGCGCGTTGTTTTGACTTACGTTCTATGGGCCGCGCTAAAAATATAAATATTCTGTAAATACCGAAATGAAAGATGAAAATCTGAATTAAGACACAAGCTTGAAAATAACACTATAAATAGTGTTTTGGATTCTGATTCCATTAATACTATTACGAAAAAGGTATGTCCAAAGGGGCCGAAGTTATGTTCGGCGAAATGTAGGGCTAGTTTACATTTTTCACTATATTATGAAATATGATACCATACCTCACTTGTATTAAAATTCGCATCGAAGTTAAAAGTAATGTTATTGTTTGACGCAACAAATCTCCAGTAACACAATAAAATGTATGTTTCTTGTAGTTATCAGTAGCAAGTAAATGTTTCCGCGTTTTGTACAGATGTATCGTCTGAGGGTAAAACGTCTTAAGTCGATCAGTAGCAGGTTTATTAGCTTTGAATTAGCAGGTTTATTAGCTTTGTATGTCATTGCTCTGAAGATGTCTTAAGTTAAAGACGAAACGTTAGCTTTGAACCCATCACGGATGTCGCGCAATTGACTGTACATTACGGATGCGCGAATGACTATATGTGTATTGCATATGATACAAACACATTGAGTATACAATTCTACTCTGCGCATACAATATTTTGTAGTCAAACTGTCAAACTTGTCCTTGTTTATATTCTATTCTATTGTATAAATTCGCTTGGTACAAATCCCATACAATATAGTACAGAGAAACGGTGAAATGCTAAAAGCGTGGCGTGATCCTCAGAAGATGTTTTCGTAATGCCAAATGAAACACAAGTATTACTCACAAATACAAACGTTATCCGTAAATACACATGGTCTCTGAGGCATATAGGGACTCAGGAGGTTTAGAACTGGTAATTGACTTGTGCGCGTGCGTACAAGTGTATGGGCTAATAAAGAAATTAACGATGTACCACAAGCATAGCATGAGACTGCTACTACGTACATAAATACGGACCTTATGTTTGCGTTGTTACTCTGAGTGCATATCCACACCGGGCGAGCTTGAAAAATATGCCCGGCCACGGTGGGATTCGAACCTACGACCTTTGGAATACTAGCCCAGCATAATACGGACCTTGTTACTATGAACACTAAATCAAGCAGTCGAGGAATCGAATGGCATTTGAATCGATGGCATTTTGGGTTAATCGTTGCACACTGAGCCTGCGATGGGCTAACGCAAACTCCATTTCTCGACGAAAACAGAAAACAGAAAACTAGAGATTTAAGACACTTGACCTTTCAGGTCAGTGTAATTAGGATAAATTTCGTATAGGAATTCCTATAAGATGATATGTCATACTGCAAAACCTGAACAGTCAAAGTGATGTACTTTCGAGAAGGGTGTATTTATTAATAAAATGTTTCAGTGACAGTGTTAAATTAAACAAACTTTAGCAACAGGTAGCTAAAATGCTTCTTATGGTGAAATAAGCTTAGACTTGACACATAACTGGTTAAATTACTTAAATATAATCATGAATTGTTACTGATTGTATTCTAGTTTGGCTAAATTTATTCAATAGTTTGGATAAATAATTTAATTCCATCTACAAAATCCCTTTAACATTTTGTGTGTGAAAAGCCAGCTTTTCACCTTGGGTATTAAACAGTCGAGCTTGGGGTTCTCGAACAACACTGGTTCCATTGTGATTGTGCAAACAGAACAAAATGCTTTCATTAACTTTGTGTATCAAGTACTTGATAAATACTAAATTTTCGTAGATTACATTCTAAATTAGACTCTTCAAATTGTCAAGTACAATGTATAAAATTGCGTTGATGCAAACAGATAGGTGGAGGGCGACAATTTACACAATAATCTTGTAACATCTGCGTACACGGTACACAATATATATTAATTTCCATAGTCGTGAATGTGACTGATAATCCGAGTCTTGAACTTTATCATTCAATTCGTTTCAAATGTACTTAATCCTTCAAATATCCATGTAGTTAGTTTCCAGCAGTCTTGAATTTGTCCATGTCATAATTTAAGCAAAAATTTACATGCAAATATCTGATTTCTACCATAATTTAATACCAGTTTATAATAATTGCCACTCTTCGCGCCAGCCATTGTTTATTGTTAACCCGCATTTCCTTCCCACCCGCAACATTGCTTTAAAGCAAAAGAGCCAATCACAATCAACTGCTCAACAGCCTGAACCAGGGCCACTGTGAGGGCCGCCCGAGCTTGGGCCTGGGGACGAGGATGGTCAAAATTTACAATTTGCTTACAGTTTAGTAGTACCAAATGGGCGAAGACGTATTTAATTAACTATACTGCATATTGGAGAAGTTGCAGGAAAAGTATGGGTAATATGATTTTTTGCAGTTTGTCATGGATAATAGCCAATTAAAATTAATCAATTGTCAGCATTTTAAAGGTATATTAAAGAATGATTACCAAATTATTGGAAGGGCTGCAGTGCCCCCCCCCCCGGTTGCTACGGCCCTGAGAAGTAATGAACTGAAAAACATTTACCGATTTACAATTTGTTAAATGTTATCCATGTAAATGCCATAATTTCATAAATCAGTTTATACTGACAATACAATTTTATAATATTTTCTCTGTTTAACAACTAAAATTTTGTTCTACTAATATTATTGCCGTAATTTTCCGAATGGCGAGCCCGATTCTCCGAATATGTCGATTCTAAAAAAGTTGAGGGGGTGGTTAACCACCTCCCTCCCCCCCCAACACCCCTGCCCTCGCTACGGCCCTGGGTGTATCATTGTATCCTCTCACTGGTGAAACCGTTCTTTTCAAATTATTTGACATAGTTGTAAGAGTAGACAATTGTAATATAAACTAGTTGTGTATAGTAGATATATACAAAACGTGCTAGACCAAATTTTATGTCTATTTTATAAATGTGCACTTTTAATAGATATTTGATATTGAACCAATTATCAAAGTCGTTTTGGCTTGTTTTTCTCAGTGTCTTTTTAGTTATATTATATGTGTTGTATAGTTAATTTAAAATACAAAGTGTTTGTTTACCTTTTTAAAATTTATTTCGCAATAAATAAATAAATTTCGCAATTTTCATCGTTGTCTGTGTCCGTCTTGACTTGCCTCAATCTTCCGGTTCGCTCGGCATAATTCGAAATGTCTGCCGAATATTTTTCCGTTGTGTCGTGTTTGTTCCCATATTGCAAAAAAAGTTCAAAAAATTAAGTGACAATATTTTTACCAAAGAAAGATCTGATAATGGACTAGTCGTCCTTGGATTTGCTAAGTTCTGGTGACAGTACAAGTTATTAATATTTTACAAATCGAAGGCTGGTTGGAAAAGCGAAATTCGCAGTGACGATGAACCCGAACATTTGTTTGAAAACAATTCTCATTTACTTGTTACATGTTGACTTCTGGTCAAGGATGAACATGCTGGTAAGAAGAACAAGTATTCCTTTGTCGATTTAAGAGTAAGAGTGGCCAAAAAACGTTTAAATTTCTTTTATATTCGTATATGTATTAAAACTATACGAACCTGGGAAATTTTTCAACTGTAATAACTTTTTTATGCTGTATTCAGCAAGCTATTGCAAAAAAAGTTCAAAAAATTACGCCATGAAATTTAAGAGGAATAACGATTTGTACTTTGTTAACATTTTGTTCTGGCTTATTTTTGAGATATAAAATAAGTAATTTATTTACGCATCCTAAAAACGCTTAAGGGAATCCATTGTGATGTTCGGCTTTCATGTGCAAAATTTTCGTAGTTTTGTTTTTACGATTGTCTTGAATCATGCCATGTAAATTGTAAAAAACGTATATAACCAGATGACAAAATATGGCAACGATAGACTGCATAATTTCAGCAAAATAAGAGATTTAAAAAGTGTCTTCGAGTTTCGCATCAATAGTTTGTTTTGATTTAAATTTCGCGCCTTCCCCGCTAGCCCCAGTCCTAATTTGCATCATACATGTTTCACGTGAATTACTGGCGTTTCGCCGCCCTATCTTATAAACGCCCTGCTGAGACGAACCAGTGAGATGTCTTATGGTCAAACCTAGTGAAAGAGACTTGGGGGTCTGTTTTTTACCTTTTGAGGCAAGGTAGATAATGTCTTGACCAATAGAAAGAATCTTATTACGAGTATCATCGTCAACATCAGCATAAAATGTCAAAGAAGGTTCCTCGGTTGCACCAATGCACACAGCAATCAAGTTGAACAGTTGGTATGGAACAAACTTTTCGACACCTTCGTTTCGAATTTCGTTGGCTGTTGGAGGCCATTTTGATGTCATCCTTGGAGCATCTTTTATAATATTTTTAAGCATCAGACCTGCAAAATTGAGATTCTTGATTTAGTATTCTATAATTCGCAGTACTCAAAAACTTGTTTTTAAAGTGTTTAATATGAAAAATTTCAACATTTCTCTTAGGTTCACTTTATAGCAACACTTAATAGCAACACTTTAATGTTTACATTCATTTTACAAATTAGCCGTTTATTAGCAGACCGGAACGGAAAGTACTCTTCCCACATCAAAACTACCAACCTGCAACATAAAGGGATCTATCAACATGTTGGTCTAATAAAGTTGAAGTGCAGCTCGATTCCCCAAGAAATACTTCATCATAGGTTTCCGGTCCAGAGTTATTATTTGAAGAACTTTCTGATAAATCAAGTGAGTCGGCAACAACATTTCCTACTGGTACCGCTGAACAGTATACTATTTCACTTTCATTTTTTCTAGCTGGCTTATGGAACACAAGTTGGGGATAATCTTTCTGAAGTCGAAGTTTCAATTTATCATTCCTATAAAGAAATTAAATAAAGCTGGCGTAATAATACCAGACTTGATTTATTAATACCGGGACTATATTATGTAATTTATATTATTTGATTATTATGTACTGTATGTATTAAAAATATTTAAAAGGAACAGCAACTAGATTAGAATTTAACAACCTTATTCCCACAGGCTCGACGCCTTCAACATTTTGGATT